ATGTAAGAATGCAGTTTTAACACCCAATTGTTCAAGCTCTGGAATCTGGCTATAACCTTTAGCAACCAACCTTGCTTTATATCCTGTCTCATCATTAGGAGAAACACCTTCTTTCCTCTTGAAAACCCACTTGCAACGAATGGATTTCTTCTCTCTAGGTAATTTTACTAAATCCCAAGTGCCATTCTTTTCAAGTGATTCCATCTCATCATGCATAGCGGTCATCCACTTATTACTATCACCAGAAATAATAGCCTCGGAATATGAAGAAGGCTCAGCATTACCTTAAATTTCTTCTGCAACAAATAAAGCAAAAGAAACAAGGCCGATGCTAGGCGTAAGCCGACTGATAGTAGCTCGCAACTATAAGCCGCCTTCATAGCCGTCCGATCGTGCATATAATACTCATTCGCTTTGTTTCTCATGGATCACAATTTGCCTCGACGAACACCAGCATAGGCACCACTATGCAGCACCCAAGGTCGTGCTCCAAGCACACCTAGCAACATGGAGGCTGCGGTCGCGACGCTGTCGGAGCTCCTGCGATGCTCGGTCGCGACGCCGCCCGAGCTACGATAAAGAGAGGTCACCGGAGTTGCGATGCTGCGACGCCGGAGCTGCGATGCAGCGGTCAACGACACCGTCGGAGTTGTGATGCAGCAGCCGCTGGAGCTGCGATGCATTAGTCCCCGATGCCGCTGGAGCTGCGATGCTCGGACGCGAGGCCGCCGGAGCTACGATGCAGCGAGGCCACCGGAGCTGCGATGCAGTAGTCGTCGATGCCGTCGGCGGAGTTACGATGCATCTGTCCCCGACGCTGCCGAAGCTGCGATGCTCGGCCGCCCGCTGGAGATGCGATGCACCGATGCCGGAGCTACGATGCAGCGGTCGTTGACCCCGTGGGAGCTATGATGCAGCGGCCGGTGGAGCTGTGATGCAGCGGTCCTCGACGCCGCCGGCGAGATCCAGTGATGAACCTGTGTCCCAGCACTATGTGTGTTGCTATGCAGCTCCATCGGCGGCGAGACCCGGGTCGCAGCACGACGGGCGTTGCATTGCAGCTCCTCCACCGACGAGATCCGAGGCGCAACAGTAGGCATTACAGCTCCGCCGGCGACAAGATCCACCGGTGGTAGTATCGTTGCATGGAAGCAGCCGCCGTCGGCGAGATCCGCTGTTGCAGCCACAGTGGCTGCGGCCATGGCGATGGACGCAACAACGCGATTGCAGGGGCAACCTTCTTGATCTTGCAGCAGCACGATTGTTTCAGCAGGATGCGCAGCGGCGGGCTCCGGTGACGGGAGTAACAGTGGTGAGCTCCGGCGCCCTCTTCGATATGTAGCAACATTGGTTTGCATGGGAGCCCAACTAGTAGATGAGTGGGCGATTAGGCCACGGCAAGAGATAAGGCAAAGGGTGGGCAAAGCGGTGGGTGGGCCTAACAGGGGTACGTGTTAAGCGGGAGAGACGGTTTATGGGAGAGACAAATCATCCGGCTGAATTAAAGAGTTTCCCAAGAAACAATATTGCACTCTTCAATTAACCTGTCAGGTTTATTAATACCTCGTCTAACTCTGTCACGTGCAAGATTCCAACTGGGTGGAACAATATGCTGATTTGGAGTGGGGGTGACATGATCATCATTAACGACGGGTTCATCATGTGCATCAACAATTTCATTACCAGATGTATCACCTGAATCAATAACATGCTCCACCTAAATAGTAGGCTCCTGAACAATAGGCTACTATTCACTCTCAACGGGAACATTAGTAGATGAAACATCATGTAACATAGTAGATTCATTAAAGATAACATTTCTGCTAATAACAACCTTCTGGGTTTCAGGATTCCGTAATTTAAAACCTTTAACACCAGACTTATAACCAAGAAAGATGCACTTAACAGCCCTAGGCTCCAATTTTCCATTATCAACATGAGCATAAGCAGTGCAACCAAAAACTCTCAACTGTGAATAATCAGCAGGTGAACTAGACCATACCTCAATTGGAGTTTTCTTATTAAGAGCAATAGATGGTGAACGATTAATGAGATAACAAGCAGTGGAAGCGGCCTCAACCCAAAAAGCCTATGCAAACCTGCATTGGACAACATGCAACAGGCTCTGGAAATAATGGTCCTATTCATACGCTCAGCAACACCGTTTTGTTGAGGAGTATAAGGAACGGCGTAGTGTCTGACAATGCCTTCAGACTTGCAATAATTCTTAAATTGCTTAGAACTGAATTCCATACCATTATTAGTGCGAAGTATTTTTACCTTCTTTTCAGTCTGCCTTTCAATCATAATCTTCCACTCCTTAAAAGCTGAGATTGCTTCATATTTATGCTTCAAGAAACAAGGCCAAACTTTTCTGGAATAATCATCAATAATAGTCAGCATGTAACTAGCACCACCTAGTGACTTTCTGCGAGATGGTCCTCATAAATCAGAATGCACATAATCAAGAATACCTTTAGTTGTATGGGTCGAAGTATTGAACTTCACCCTCTTTTGTTTGCCGAAGATACAATGCTCACAAAATTTTAATTTACCAGGTTCATATCCATCAAGAAGACCTCTCTTATTTAACTCTCCTAAACCAAGTTCACTCATATGTCCAAGACGCATATGCCAAAGGTTAGCAACATCACAATCAGAATTCTTTGAAATAAATGGAGTAGCGTTACCTGAAACGGTAGAACCTCGAAGGTAATAAAGACCATTGGTCGAACTTAAGTCACCTTTCATAACAACAAGGGAACCTTTGGTGACTTTCAAAACACTATCTCCACCTGAATACTTGTACCCCTTTGCATCAAGGGCACTCATAGAAATAAGATTTCTCTTCATCTTTGGAATATACCGAACATCTGTCAAAGTTCTGATTATGCCATCAAACATCTTGATTCGAATAGAACCTATGCCTTCAATCTTGCATGGTGAATTATCAAAACCCAAAACGGAACCAGCAGCAGTAGTGGAATCAAAAGTATTAAACCAATCTGTATGTGGACACATATGAAAAGTGCATGCGGTGTCAAGTACCCACTCATTATTGGTCTCAACACATCCAGCAATAACGACAAGAGCATCATTAGAACTATCATCACGAGCAACGTTAGCAGAATTTTCACCTTGTTTGTTACCTTTCCTTTTTTCCTTGTTCTGCAACTTGAAACACTCAGAGATGTCATGCCCGTCTCTCTTGCAATATCTGCAATATTTCTTGTCTCTGGATTGCGAGCGCCCCTGTAGCCATTCTTACTTTTGCCTCTATTTCCATTATTGGAGTTCTTCTCCTTTGTCCTGCCACGAACAGATAATCCCTCGGCTTGGGATGAACTCGAACCATCATGAGGCACCATTAATTTCATCTTCTCCTTATAATTAAAAGCTTCATAAACTTCATCAAGTGTGAGAGTATCACGGCTATATAATATGGTGTCTCTAAAATTGGTATAAGAACTTGGCAGTGAACAAAGTAACATTAAAGCAGTATTTTCCTCTTCATACTTAACCTCCATTTCAGCTAGATCGGATATGATCTCTTTAAATTCAGAAATATGATTCAAAACATTACCTCCCTCGGGTAACCTGTGCAGGAATAATTTTTGCTTCAGATGCATCTTGCTGGTAGGATCTTTTGTCATGCAAATCCCTTCCAGATTTAACCATAGAGCGGCGGCAGTTTTCTCGCTCGAAACTTACTGCAAAATATTATTATGCAAATGGAGTTGAATTTTTGACAAAGCCTTACAATCAATTCTTTTCTCCTCATCAGTCCAGTCCTCAATTCGGTTCTTCCCAAAACTATCCAGTGCTTCATCATTGTCGGTCTGTGCCAACAACGCCCGCATCTTGACTTGCCATAGGATAAACCTTGTGTCACGGTCCAACGGCGGAAGATCGTACTTCATGGAAGCCATCAGTAGATAAATCTGTATACACAAAGTAGTACAAGCCATAGAAAAATTCTTGACAGAATTTAATATGCGGAGCAGACAAAAAATAGGATAAATAACACCCGGATATTGTATAGGCAGTGGACGTAGCAAGTACTAATAAACTATTACTAGTCTCACGTAGTAACAGGTACTGTAGCCTCGTCACGTGAGTAGCAGCAGTAGCTACGGTAGGCCTGACGTGAAGCAGCAGAAAAAACAAATTGATCTGGTGCCTCAGGACTTAACCGGAGCAGCAGCGGAATTTGGTGGATCAGACAACAACGGCTGCGGCCTAGGGTCTTGTGTCCGTATATCTCGGCCGATCAGTGTTGTCGCTTCTGATCCAAACACAAGCCACAAAGATACAGGCAGAATCTATGGTGGAAACTCCCATCGTCTCGGCGACAGAAGCGATCGGACGAAGCGCGTCCGGCGGCGCGCGCGACAGATGCTAACCCTAATTCTCTCGTCTCAATCTCGTATCTGTAACTTGACTCTATATACCACTTGTTAGATAATAACGAGAATAAACGAGACATGAGAGCACACGAATTTTTATATGGAAACCCTTGCGGGAGAAAACCACGGACGCACGAAGGCGCAATCACTATGAGGAGGAGTATTACAAGCACGCGACGACATGCCGTCTAAGGTGCGACTACATGGGGTATATATGAGGGCAATACATAAAAGTCCTTGGAGGACAAGTAAACGAGTTGTACTCGTACGCGTCGGTACCAACACAAAAGCTCACACCGTATGTACTACATCTATCCAATACTGTACTAGAATTTGGATCACAATTTAATAGCCTCGAGCCCGCCTCCATCCATCGGCCTCCGAATCCCGACCATGGAATCGCCGCCGCTCAAGTTCAACGTCACCCGATGTGAGGACAGAATCAGCGTGCTACCCGACGAACTCCTCCTCCGGACCCTCGAGCGCCTCGCCCTGCGCGACGCCGTCCGTGCTGGCGCGGTCTCCACGCGGTGGCGGCACCTCCCACACTAGCTCTCGCTCGTGGCACTCAGCATCCGCCACTTCCGCCGCGCCATGCTGGCCGAGACCATGGACGCGTTCATGGCCGCTTTGGTCTCAGTGTGTCCTCCGGCCCAGCACCACTGCGAATGCCAGCGCAGCTATGCCATCAAGGATCTCCGCCTCTGCTTCTACCCGTCGGCCCCTCACCTGAACTCCGTTGGCCGTGCCGTTGAGGACGTCCTCAGCTGGCCTTCTGCTCCGGTGCTCCCCCCTGGGATGAACGCGGGGTGGAAAAACACATCGACAGCCAGGATGAACCAAAAACAGTTCATAACGAGGGGCATGATCATCTTTGTTTCCCCCGCGTATAGCCGTCGAGGAGCCCTGCGAGGCCCGTACGGGCCCAGTTAGATCGTATGCCCGTCCGTATACGTATTTGCTTGTGTACGGCGGCCTTTCGTGCATGCGTGAAGCCGCCCGTGTGTGGGGCAGCACGTGTCACGGGTAGTTGCCAAAACTGTTGCATCATATAAATATGGACGGCAACCACCTTCGGCCGCATCGCCCACCATTTCCCCCCGCCGCATCGTCTCCCTCTCTCCACTCCCCACTCCCCACTCCCTCTCCTCTCCAACCTCCTCGTCTCACTCACCGCATCCTCTCCATCGCCATGGCGGACACAGGAGGCGAGCGCCCCGATTGGGGCGCATATCTGGTGGAGAAGGCGCGACAGGTCGCTGCGGGCACCTTCGTGAGGGGGCGTGCCGGCGTCCAGTGCGGTGCTCCCTCCGCTGGAGATCTGGAGAAGGCGGGGGTAGGCCGCAACGGCGCGGTCCAGCCAGATGCGCCCGCTCTGGCAAACTTCGGCGAGGCGCAGAAGGTGGAGGCGGGCTCCGGCGAGGCGCAGAAGGTGGAGGCGGGCTCTGGCGAGGCGCAGAAGGTGGGGGCGGGCTCTGGCGAGGCGCACGAGGTGGAGAAGGTGGAGGCCGGCTCCAGCGAGGAGGAAGCGGAGCAGAAGGTATCTGCGGCTAACTTTTAGTTGGTAGTTTTTAGATTGTAGGGTTTGTGGCCAGAACTTTGTTTGGTTAGATTTGTTGGAGGTAGGGTTTTCTCTCCATTAGGGTTTTTCTGTATTTGATTCGTGCAAGAATGGTGGACCACATATGATTATTAGATTAGGTTAGAAGTAGCCAGATCAAGGGATGGATTTTTTTTCCAGATGCTTATTAGATTACTAGTGGAATTTTTGCAATTCTTTAGGTGTTTGGAGTCAAATATATACTTCTGTATTGGTTTGGGTTGGTGCCTGCTTTAGTTCTTTGGCTTGATGATTAATTAAATGGATGCTTAGTTCTAGGGATTATGGCTCTCATAGTTGCAATTCTTAGATGCTTGATTGATGCATGTTGTCATAGTTGCAGTTATTTGATGTTTGATTGATGCCTGTCAGGCAGAGGCTATGTGATGAGTTGTGCATGGCCTTGTGTTTTTGGAAATTGTCTACGTGAGGTGATTAGATGGTGCATTAGTTTGGTTGTAAATATAGTGAAGGATGTGCTCATGTACTGGGTGTTGTCATGTTAATCAAAAAGAGCTTCTCAAGGGCTGGATTTTTTTGTGCTAGATTGGGGCTTCTGAAGGAGAGGGGAAGCGTGGTCGAGGGGAAGGGGCAGTATATGCTTATTTACTTTGGGTTAGTAGTGGAATTTTGTCGTTGCTTCAGAGATATTGACAGCATTGAACATCCTCTGTAATGCCGTTGCTTCAGAGATAAAAGCATCTTGGAGTTTTTTCAGATGCTTATTAGATTAGTAGTTGAATTTTTGCTTGTTAGAATTTAATTAGTATGAGGATGAATACCTTATTTAAGGGGAAATTTAAGGTCAGATAGATGTCATATGATTATTAGATCTGTAGTTCAATGCTGCTGCCATTTATGATTATTTGATTTGATCTGTGGTTCAATGATACTGGATGGAAACATATTTGATTTGGAATGCATTAATTAAGATGTGCCAATGAATTGATTTAGATGATACAAGATTCATCTATAGTATAATTTGTTGTTGTTTAGGTAAGTAATGAAATTTTAGATGTTTGTTGGAGATGTATGCATTTATAGTTGAAGTTGTACCTAATTAACTACTGCATTATGTTAATATGTGTAGGAGCTTTGCTGCATTATCCCAAAAACAATAATTTGTGCATATTAAAATTTGTAGTTGGCTTTTGTAATTAGTATATACTATATGTAAAGTGTGAAGTAAACATTCCAAGGCAGGATCCTAGCAACAAAATATACTATATGCTTCCATTAAGTAGTGTGTGTGTGTGGGGGGGGGGGTTCCCTCAAAAGAAAAGTGTTGGGTTGATCTAGGGAATGTCAAGAATCCAGCTTGCATTTTCATTAGCATTTATGAAGGACATCATTTATCTGTTGATTGATTGCTTAGATTCTGTATTTATAAGGAAAGCATTTGGTCACTTGCGACATACCAATGTGGTTCACATTCACAATTTTGTTTGTAATGACATTCTATGAACTGCAATTCAATTCATTATAATTGGTGTGCTTGTTTGACAATATAGCAGCAGGAGGAGGATCTTTTGGGTAACAAGAGGAAGTGGGACAAGACTGGGTTCTACCCATATGAGTCTGATGAAGATGAGCCGTACGAGGTAAGGCCTAGTTGAAATGTTATTTCTGCATTGAGTTAGTATTATGTGTTTATAGTTTTTGAATGCATAATGTATTAATGTCAGTCATTAATGTGTGCAGTATGAATCTGGAGATGATGTGGTCGAGGGGAACGTCGAGTCCTTTAAAGAGAAGGAGGTGTTGAAGATCAGGGTCCTAGGACCTGCTAAGTACTACAACTGGAGGAATGAAAAATACCGGTGCCCCTACTGCAGCAAGCCCAAGCCCAGGTCTGGGTTATTGGAGCATCTGATGGAACATTGCCGGGCTACATCGATCTCCAGTCATGACTACAAGATCATTGGTCAGCATTCTGCCCTCCTGAAGGTCCTGAGAAACCTTGACCTCTAGTCGTACATCATGCTGATCATCGGAAGCTGGAAGCCGTACTCATCATCAGTATATTTGATGATGTTTTACTTTTGGAAAGCTGCATCTGGGTCTGAACTAAAACTTGCTATATTAATGTAATGTAATGTAATGTATTGTGTGTTTGAACTGGATCTGTTGTGAACTGCCTGCTACCTATGGTGGTAACCTAGAATGCTATCTATATATGTGTGGCCTTAACTTTATTGGTGGTGAATGCTTCCTTCATGTTTAGTTGTTGTTTCGATGGTGCAATGATCACAAATGGTGCTTCAGTGTTGCTTGAGACATGCTGCAACACTTGTCTATGCTGTGGGCAAGTGCAACATGCTGTGCCCATGTGCCAATTATACCAAATATTGAATGTGGCAATGTTCCAAAATGGCTATCATGAATTATAGTACATGGGGTTTAGTAAAGTTACTGATAATTGTTCATCCTCACACATTCCATCAACGCATAATTTGAATAAGCAAAAAGATCAAATGTTCCATCATTTGAACCTATGTTGCAATTAGAGAGCAAATATTCCATCATCAAAGTGTGAAGGAATTAAATGTAAATTTAGAAGAGTAATGTAATACTAGTTAAAAATAATGTGTGCAGAAAAAAGGAATTTGAAATAAGATCTACTTTATTTTGTAATGAAGTCATATTACCCTACTTATTAGAATTTTGAAAATATCACTTATTTATAAGAAAAGAAAATATAAATATTCAAAAAGATGTGTTTGATAAAAATACCTTTTGAATTTTTGGTACGTTATTATTTGAGGGGTCATGTAATTTTTATGTTATTTTTGGAGTGCTCAGGTAATTTTTATGTAAAGTGAAGGAAAGGAAAAAAAATAAACAAAAGGAAAAGCATGGGCCATCCTAGCCATCTTGGAAACCTAGCTTTATAAATAAAAAATTCAAAAAATAAGAGGGCATTAAAAAAGTAAAAAAATATAAGAGGGCATTATAAATTCAAAAAATTTCAAAAATATAGAAAGAATATTTTGCAATGCCCCCTTGAGGTATAGACCAATGTTTTGACCAGTCAGTCTAGAGGGCATTATAAATTAATAAAAAATTCAAAAAAATATAAAATCTTGGAAACCCACCTTTGTTTGTGCAATAGATCATGTCTGCCAAAGTTGAGGTCATTTGGAGGTGGTCGAAAAAATGACCGCATTCCAGAGGGGCCATTTGGTCTAACTTAAGCCAGTTTTTGAAAAAATGTGATTTTTCCCGCCACCTCCAAATCACACAAATTTCTTGAACATGGTGACCCACATGTGCCAATCATGGCTAT